TCAGCGGAGACGTGACGAGACTCTGGACGATCAGCTGTGACGTGACAAGACTCTGGACGATCAGCTGTGACGTGACGAGACTCGGGGATGGCAGCAGTGACATGACGGGGCTTTGTTGTTGCCACCATTTTGCAAACAGGCTCAGCTGTCGCCGCCATTCCGTGAGCGTGCTCCGTTGCAGCCGCCATTACCGGCACGGGCGCGATGTCCCTTTCTTCCTCCGCGACACCCACATTAAACAAAGAGACAACAGTCAACAAAGCATAATCCATAAACTGAGCGAGTGACGAACGTGGACCCTCGCGTCTAAGCTCAGATTGAAGAGGTTGATTAATGCCATCACAAAAAACTCTATCAAAAGACAGTCCGGTAAATCTGAATAGTGCACGATTGCTAAATATTCTCGAATATAGTTCTCCAGCGATCGCGGGCCTTGTTTAAGGCCCGTGAGACTCGCTGTGTTTGATACAAGGACTAGTTTAACATGTTAAGCATTTTAATAACATTATCAGCAAAGTCTATCAACAAAAACTAACATTTGTGATACAGAGCAAATTAAGCAGTATTGGAAGCAAAGTCACTTTAAAGGAACAGTTCAGCCAAAAATGAAAATGTGCTGAAAATGTCTTCACCCTCAAGATCAGGATGAGTTTGTTTCTTGATCAGATTTGGAGAAATGTGTCATTGCATCACTGTCTCAGCAATGGATGCTCTGCAGTGAATGGGTGCCGTCAGAATGAGAGTCCAAACAGCTGATAAAAACATCACAATAATCCACAAGTAATCCACAGCACTCCAGTCCATCAGTTAACCTCTGGAGAAGACAAAAGCTGAAACACATCCAGCATTAAGATGTTTTTAACTGAAATACAAGTCCATAATCCATAATAACGCTTCCTCCAGTGAAAAAGTGTTCTGGTGTGAATCAGGAGAGAAATCTGCACAGATCAAGCACCGTTTAAACAGCTCTAAACAAATATGTGGGTGATTTTGATGTGAGAGACAACAGGAGATGCACTTTTTCACTGGAGGAAGTGTTATTATGGATTATGGACTTTGTATTTTAGCCAGAAACAATTGTTTGAAGTTTAAATGGCTTAATGATGAATTTGTTTCTTACAAACACGCAGCTTTTGGCTTCTCAGGACATTAACTGATGGACTGGAGTGGTGTGGATTACTTGTGGAT